GCAGTAATGAATTGTAAGAATAGCATCTGGCCTTCTGATGTATATCAAAAGCCAACAAATAAAAAAAAAGTCGTCTATTTACAGATGTAAGGATTACTGAAAGTTCATGCAAAAGGGCCACTAACAATCAGTTTAATCTTTTTATTTTTGAATGAATTTTTTTTCCTAAACTGTAATAAAACTATTATTCGCAATACGATTAGAAAATTCTTAAATTTTAGGGTTTTTGACTCCGCCATTCGTCTACAATCAGTTAAGTATTCAAGTTATAAAATGTGTTTGGTAACAAAATATATAAATAAAATCATTATGAAGTAATTTTGTTGTTGAATTAGTATTTTATCTAAGTCTTAAAACAGGCTCAGGGAAGGGTCATGACCCCCGTGACCCCCCTGGATCCGCCACTATCAGCACGATTCCCAACCAATGTCTTTCGAACAGTTTTTGAATTTTCAAAATTGATTCAAAATTGCGGGCTAAAACGTGGACGAAAACTTTTTCACTTTTCCGCTATTTATAAAGAAACAGCTCGACCGATCGTCGCACAAAACTGATAAACGCTAGTCCTCATAGAGATACATTAAATGGCTTTTAAATTTTTTAAATCAGTCCAGCCATTTTTGAGAAAACGTCGATTTACGGCAAAAAATCGCTGTTCACATACACATGCTTTATCCAAATTTGGTATCATTCGATTCAGAATGGCTTGAAACGTTGAGAAAACATAAAATTAGCGAATCTGATTTTTTTATGAAAACAAACTTCTCCTTTGGGAAGTTAATTAAAGTCACGCTTCAGATATGATCGGAAAGTCATTGTAATTAGCATTTAGGAGTTGAACCTTTATTAGAGAAGTAAAGTAATTGCTCATTAATAAATTCTATAATATTCGTTCACACAGTGGACAGCTGATATAACAATCTTGAACTATTTCATTAACACTATCAATAAATAAACTCAATTTATTCTTCATTATTTATAAAAATATGCAACTTTCTAATACTTTTAATAGCCATCATGATCGAAGAACATGTAGACTTTATCCAAACTTCCAAAAGTGTGTGAGATATAATTCTGAAAAAGATATCTTCGGCATGATAGAATAAAGCTGTGCTACTTTAATGTTTTTCAATATCTATGCAGAGAATTATTATTAAACAACGGCTAAAGAAATATTGTTTTCACAATTTCACTCATCATGTATTTGTATTTGAAACACTTCATGAATTTAAATTAATATACATTTATTGACAGCTTGATTTTTAACTTCCCATAGGGTAAGTTATTGTAATAGGCCGAAAATCGGAATTGAAAATTTTTACATTTCTCGACGTTTTGAAGGTTTCTGAACGTTTTGGCATACCTCAGAAAAAATGGATGTGTGTGTGTGTGTGTATGCATGTATGGATACAAATTTTCAGTCACGTTTCCGGGCAAACGGATCAACCGATTTGAATGGTTCAAAAAGCATTCGATTCCTATCGATAGGGAAAAGAGCTGATTAGTTTTTGGCAAAGGCAGGTCCAGCCGTTTCGAGGATACAGAGCAAAGAGTGCAGAAAATAGAAATCGACTTTTTGAGAGAACGGAGTATCCGATTTGAATGATCTAAAAAACATTCAATTAGTAATGATTGGGAGAAGTGTTTATTAGTTTTTGGCAAAAGCAGGCCCAGCCATTTCGAAGATACGGAGCTAAATATGTAAAAAATGGCAGTTTTTGAGAGAACTAAGCGTCCGATTTAAATGATTCAAAGAACTTTCTGCTTGTCTTAACAAAATAATTGATTTTGTAAAAAAAAAATTATTTTTTTTTTTTTTTTAGTTTTTTGTATATCGAAAATAATTCAGATTTTATTTTTAATTCTGACTATAGTTCTAATATACTTTAAACAAATAATTTCAACTTTGCAATTCAGTTTATATAATTCTTATAAATATTAGACAATGTTACAATATTTTTAATAATCTATTTGAAAACATTGAGTATTCCTCGAACATTTCGTTACGGTACGGGAAGTTCCAGTAATTTGCCTTAAGGCACGATGCCACCCACCCAACTAGTTGTTTTTTGGTCTGACGTTAACAAAAACGAAGCGTATGGTTTTCCAAATCGTGAACGGGCAACGTATAACTGCCCATGTGAAAAACAATGATTTTATAAATAATCTATTTGAAATTTATCTCGCAAACACTAAGCGATTGGCCTTGCAACTTGTTATTGCGAACACAAGGCGAACTGGAAATTGCAATCGTTTGAAGTCAAACCAAATCGCCAGCAATTTTTGATTGAATGGTGAAATTCAGTGCGAGTACATCATTATACTTTGCGGCAAGAATTGTTCGTTGACTTAACCAAGCATAATTCTGATAATTCTCACTAAAGTCATTACTCGAATTTTTAATTACGGTGCGTGAAGTTCCAGCAATTTGCATTAAGGCACGATGCCATGCACCACTAATTTTCTTAGCTATAAACCTTGCGGAGAGACCTTTCCAACGAATGCAAAATTATCGAAATCGGTTCGTGCGTTCTGGAGTTATTTCCTCAGGAAGGAAAACTCGACTTATTTTTATATATGTAGAAGACAACGAATAATACAAATTTCTTCAATAAACTTATTACGTTTATTTATTTATTTATTTATTCATAAGCAAGCCGTAATCAATTAATAATAATACATATTATTTCAGGCTCTTGTCAAGAAAATCATTCGTTTCGTACACGGCACAAATGTTCATTTGTTTTATTATTTTCACTGTACAATCAAAACAATCATACTAACGCGACACGACGACCAATCACAATCGACCCATATAGAAATGATATCATCGAGAGCGAATGACGAATCATTGGCACTCAACTCGGCCGTAACGCTTTTTTCGTTGCATTTGTACGGATTTACACCCTAGTCGCGCCTGAAGAAATTTTACTTAAAAAACACACACACACAAAAATAATTTTTTTCTAAGTTATGCCAAAATGTTCAGAAACTTTCAAAACGTTTCTTCTGGCCAAGATATGCAAAAATTTTCAATTTAAATTTTTGGGCGATTACAATAACTAACCCCACAGGATGTTAAAAAATAAACTTTTTGAGAAGATTCTACTAACAATTATGGCTCAATTGCAAGCTTTATTAAGCCTGGAATGAATATAGAACATAACACAATATAAAATATTCACACTAATCATTGATAACACTGTTTATTTATTTGATATTTTATGTATATGAATTAATTCATACATCTAATCATAAATTTTTATAAGCAGCCATATGTAATCTTTTAACTAATTTTTTAAATACTAATTACTCATTGGTATGAGCAACCATGTGCTTTTTTAAGGTATTTGATTGTTTGAATACCTTATTGCACATTTTGCTTTTGAAGGGGCGGTCTTCAGTATGAATGTCTTATCACAAACTTGGCAAATGTGGGGTTGTTCACCAGTGTAGATGAGCATATGTCTATTCAAGCTACTTGATGCTGTAAATGTCTTTCCATATATTTTACATTTATTAGGACGTGCCCCATTGTGAATTAGCATAGGTTTGTTCAAGTTACTCGATTGTGTTAATTTCTTGTCACAAATTTGGCAAATATGAGGACGTTCACCTGGCCCCTTTGCAGTATGAGTGCGAAGATTTCGTTTTCGATTACTTGATTCATTCAAATGTAAAATTTGTTCCATTGCAAAGGCACAAATGTGTTGATCTAAATGATATTTTTCAGTAAATGCTTTACCGCACTTTGTACATGTGAAATGTTTTTCACATGTATAAGATTTTATATGTATTTCTAATGCACTTGCATCTGAAAAAGACTCTGAACAATATGTATCCTTATGACAATAATTTAAGATATGCTGTTCTGAATGAGGCAACTTTCTAAATGTTCTATGACACTTGTCACATTTATAAGAAGGAGTTTGAATTAATTCCTGTTTGACATCTTCTTCTATTTTTACAATAGAGTTCATAAATCTCTTTAGACATGTTTTGTCATCCTCTGAATACGATTCAGGGTCTTCCTCAACTTCCGGTTTAATGTCTTCGATTGGATATTCTTGTGGTTCAGTTTTAATTATCGGATCACCAGCAGCTTCTGACATTTTGAGATATTTGTGCACTGAGAATGTTCTATAAGCATTAACAAAAAGAGTTGGTTAGTTTAAATGAACTATTGTTAAATATGATAATTCATTTCACTGTAGAATTTATGTTAAAAGTTTATGTGAATAATAATACAACCGTTTATGCAGAAGGATAAAAACAGACTGACAAATTATATGTTCTTTAACTAAACACATGCATTACAAACATTATTAATAATCACTTGTTTTACATAAAACAAAATACAAACATATATATGTTACGGTAAATGTGCATATTTCGGTGAATGTGCTCATTTGGCGAATATGAGTTTAACGCGCGGGTGAAATACTAATTCATATATTTATATTTATATTTATATTTATATTTATATTTATATTTATATTTATATTTATATTTATATTTATATTTATATTTATATTTATATTTATATTTATATTTATATTTATATTTATATTTATATTTATATTTATATTTATATTTATATTTATATTTATCTTTCTATCTTTCTATTTCTCTTTCTATTCTCTTTCATATTTATCTTTTCTCTTTCTATTTATCTTTCTATTTATATTTCTATTCTCTTTCTATTTCTCTTTCTCTTTCCTTTCTCTTTCTCTTTCTCTTTCTCTTTCTATTTCTCTTCTCTTTCTCTTTCTCTTTCTCTTTATCTTTCTCTTTCTCTTTCTCTTTCTCTTTCTCTTCCTCTTTCTCTTCTCCTTTCTCTTTCTCTTTCTATTTCTTTTCTCTTTCTCTTTCTCTTTCTCTTTCTCTTTCTCTTTCTCTTTCTCTTTCTTCTTTTCTCTTCTCTTTCTCTTTCTCTTCTCTTTCTCTTTCTCTTTTCTCTTTCTCTTCTCTTTCTCTTTCTCTTTCTCTTTCTCTTTCTCTTCTCTTTCTCTTTCTCTTTCTCTTTCTCTTTCTCTTTCTCTTTCTCTTTCCTCTTTCTCTTTCTCTTCTCTTCTTTTCTCTTTCTCTTTCTCTTCTCTTTCTCTTTCTCTTCTCTTTTCTCTTTCTCTTTCTCTTTCTCTTTCTCTTTCTCTTTCCTCTTTCTCCTTTCTCTTTCTCTTTTCTCTTTCTCTTTCTCTTTCTCTTTCTCTTTCTCTTTCTCTTTCTCTTTCTCTTTCTCTTTCTCTTTCTCTTTCTCTTTCTCTTCCCCTCTTTCTCTTTCTCTTTCTCTTTCTCTTTCCTCTTTCTCTTTCTGTTTCTCTTTCTCTTTCTCTTTCTCTTTCCTCTTTCTCTTTCTCTTCTCTTTCTCTTTCTCTTTCTCTTTCTCTTTCCTCTTTCTCTTTTCTCTTTCTCTTTCTCTTTCTCTTTCTCTTTCTCTTTTCTCTTTCTCTTTCTCTTTCTCTTTCTCTTTCTCTTTCTCTTCTCTTTCTTCTCTTTCTCTTTCTCTTTCTCTTTCTCTTTCTTCTTTCTCTTTCTCTTTCTCTTTCTCTTTCTCTTTCTCTTTCTCTTTTCTCTTTTCTTTTCTCTCCTTCTTTTCGTTCCTCTGCCCCTTTCTCCCCCTTCTCTTCCTCTTGCTCCCTTCCCCCTTTCTTTCTTCCCTCTTCCCTCTGCCCTCTTCCCTCTTTCCTTCCTCCCTCTTCCCTCTTCCCCCTTCCTCTTCCCTCTTTCCCTCTTCTTCCTCCCTCTTTCCTCCTCCTGCTTCCCTCTTTGCTCCTCTCTCTTCCTCTTTCCTCTTCCCTCTTCAGTTCTCCTCTTCCGATTCACTACTTTACTATTCAACTGCTATTATATATCTTGATCAAAATGAACAAATCTTCAACAGAATGTTATTAATCATTTATCACCATAACACCATTTTGGTACAAAATTTGTAACATGCTTGACGTATTTCGCGCATAGTCTTTATTGCGCATGCGTCAAATACGCGAGATATTCATAAGACCGATCCAAGTACGCACGTACACCATTGTTTTAATTTGATTGTTTGAGAACACGCCACATTCACCTAGCGTTTTGGGGAATGTGCACATTTACCGGTGAATGTGCACATTCACCGAGAGTGCACATTTACCGTAACATATACATAAACATAATAGACACAGAGCGTTTAGTATCAAACTTCAACATTCACTAGAAATACAAATAAAAACATTAGTTGTTGACAGTTGGAGCATGGAGTATGATTTTAGAGAGTGCATTGCATTTATACTCTCGTAACATTTTATAGGAATGAATGTTTAAATTAATATAATAATTCTAAACTGTCATATAATATTCATATTATGGTTTTGTCTATGAATATAATCTTACATTAATTTAACAGAAGTGTATTTTGAATGATGTATGTCGCCAAGATAATTCCTTCTTTAAAATACTTTATATATTAGACGGACAGTAAATATGAATCAACTATTGTTCAAAGCTTTTGCCTTATTGCAAAGCTGAAATGTAAAAGGTGAAATTAAGCAATAATTTTGCATTATTTTAAGTTAAATATTTATAGTTCTTTCTAAATAAAATAAATATAACTAAAAGTTAATCACGTGGAAGAACCTCAAAGTATTTTACACTACCTTTATGTTTATCAATTAATTACAAATGCTGCTTTATAATATATATTGTTATATTCATACTTAAATTCATATAGAATATATTTATCATGACATTTAATTGATAATCAAATAAACGAAATATAAATTGTTTCTTCAGTACATTAATTTGTTTGACAGTTGAACGAACTTCGTTACCCTATTCGTTACTTTGCCTCGCTATACTGTTATTATTACCAACCGTAGAAATTACTACACTACAATAATAGGCATAGATAAATAAACATAAATAGATCGATATCTCAGGCCATTTGACGTTACCTTTATTTTAATTTATACAGCGATCTGAAAAAGGCAGCACCTGTACAGTATATACATAGATAAAGAAGAGTATATAGATCGCTCTCTCGGGCCATATTTCGTTGCCACATTCCTGTGTTAGTTGAAGCCCCCCGCTACAGATGGCACTAGTCGCCTGAACGGGTGCGAATCAAAAATACTATAGAAATGAACCAAAATTATATGGACCGTTTTAATTCAAAATTTTAAAAAAAGGAAAATTGAAAAAAAAGAAAATTAAATTTTTATAAGCATTTATTTTTCATAAAAACATTCTACATTATAGGATAACACTACTTAGTAGTTCTCTTTATAAACAATGCACACCTAGCATAGAAATGTACATAAATATACACATTATCCACACACACAATGTGTGTGTGTGTGTGTGTATATATATATATATATATATATATATATATATATTATATATGTAACATCATGTATGATTACAATAGATGGTAGTAAGCTTTATAAACTATGTACGAAAAGCATAGAAATGTACACGCTATCCACAATGTATATATATATATTATATGAGATTCAGTCTTCAGGGCAATACATCAATTAAAAACTTGTATAAACTTATTATTAAATATGAATGATTATTAAGTATGCATTATTAAAATTTACAATTATTTATATATGTAACATCATATACGATTACAATAGATGGTAGTAAGCTGTATAAACAATGTACGAAAAGCGTAGAAATGTATATAAATGTACATGCTATCTACAAATATATATATATATGTAATATCATATATGACTACAATAGATGGTATTAAGCTGTATAAACTATGTGCAAAAAGCATACAAATGTACATAAACGTACATGCTAAACACAATGTTCATATATGATTACAACAAATGGTAGTAAGCTGTATAAACAATGTACGAAAAGCGTAGAAATGTACATAAATGTACATGCTATCTACAAATATATATATATATATATATATAATATATATATATGTAATATCATATATGACTACAATAGATGATATTAAGCTGTATAAACTATGTGCAAAAAGCATACAAATGTATATAAACGTACATGCTAAACACAATGTTCATATATGATTACAACAAATGGTAGTAAGCTGTATAAACAATGTACGAAAAGCGTAGAAATGTATATAAATGTACATGCTATCTACAAATATATATATATATGTAATATCATATATGACTACAATAGATGGTATTAAGCTGTATAAACTATGTGCAAAAAGCATACAAATGTACATAAACGTACATGCTAAACACAATGTTCAAATATGATTACAACAAATGGTAGTAAGATGTATAAACAATGTACGAAAAGCGTAGAAATGTATATAAATGTACATGCTATCCACAATGTATACCATGTATGATTACAATGGATGGTAGTAAGCTCTATAAACTATGTACGAAAAGCGTAGAAATGTACATAAATGTACATGCTATCCACAATGTTTACCATGTATGATTACAATGGATGGTAGTAAGCTTTATAAACTATGTACGAAAAGCATAGAAATGTACATAAATGTACATGCTATCCACAATGTATACCATGTATGATTACAATGGATGGTAGTAAGCTCTATAAACTATGTACGAAAAGTGTAGAAATGTACATAAATGTACATGCTATCCACAATGTATACCATGTATGATTACAATGGATGGTAGTAAGCTTTATAAACTATGTACGAAAAGCATAGAAATGTACACATTATCCATCATGTATTTATGTACACATGGTCATTTAATGCCTTGTGTTAAGTAAGTAATTACTTATCCAAAAATAGCCCATTTGGGGCATTGCAGAATGAAATGGCAATAGATGATATCACACACCATTCTTCCCTGATTTGAGATCGAGTTTAACTCAGCTCACACAACTGCCCTACCAGTTCATGCCAAAAAACTGTCTAAATTATATATATATTTTTCTAGATTTCTAGAAAATATAAATATAATTTAGACATTATCTATACCATATAATAAAAGCATTGAGAATGGATCTAAATAATAAAAACGAAACAAGAGATAGAAGTTACTAGATCTCTCTTCATGCACTCAAAAGTTAACTTGAAATCCCAGAAACAACAATTCAACAAGGTCATAAATTTATATTGCAATCAAAAAAGAGGAACATATTCAAAAATAAGGAATAAAATTTATGCCTAAAATATTCTTGTATATTAACTCTGTTTATATTTATTTTGGTGCTCAATCAAATAATGATTAAGTTACATTAAATCTATGTATAGTCTCTATCTGAAAACCTTTTCTGCACATTGTGTTAATCTGCTTTAAAATGTTGAACAAAATATCATTATCATCATTATTACAAAGAAAAAGAAATCATTATGTTCTCATAACAGTAACTGACAAAAGTTCAAGAAAGTTATATGCAAACACATTTGCCAATTTAATTAAAGGATAAAACCAAAATTACTTGCATCTGAAAAGCATATCAACAACTTACTAAAATGAATTACTATATCGGGATGTCATTTGAAAACTATTTTGCTGTTATCCAGTAAATTATTGTACAATTCATGATCTATATACTTCTTGACATCTGTTAAATGTATTATCACCAATAATAAACAGAAATAAACTGTATAACAAAATATACTCCACGAAGTAGAAACTTATTTACAATTTCCACTTTTCCTAAAACATTTAACAACCTCATTATGTATTACTATAAATTTATAAATAAAACCACATTCATGAAACAATTACAAAAAATATGAACATTGCATACAGTTCAAGTATCAACTATTTGATTTGGTAGTATCGCCAGTCCCCCAATTAATCAACATAAATAAAAATGTACATACAAAAAATTGCATGGCTTGTGGAAGTCAATGCGAATGAAATATTCAACAATAAATAAAAATAAGAGCAGCATATGAAACACTTTTTATAGTAATTTACCACCATAAGAATGAATGATCTTGAAATTGAATCAAAGCTTATACATATAATCTCGTCAGGTAACAGAAAAATGAGTATAAGTAATATTTCATATAGACATAATACATATAATATAAACTAATGACTATCCTGAAAGATACTGGAAAAGAATGTTCTTCGAGCAAATAAGAGTTGTAAAAAAAAATGACAAAAGCAAATAAAAAAATTAAACATAAGGGTTTTTTTGTCGCAAAAAAGTTCTTCTAGACTTCAGAGTTTTATTATATTTATCCATAGCTTTTCTTTTTATTATATCTTGTTCATTAGGATTGACATATCTTCCCGTGAGACATCGATCGCCTAGACAATATACTAATAATAGGCGTCGTGAAAAAAGAAAGCAAATGAATAAGAATTTGCTGTAAACTAATATTTGTTTTGGTGTAAAACGTGCATTTTAGTAAACATTTGTTATAATTCATATTTCTTACGGTAAGAATAATGAAACTCAAAATTTAAATCTTCTTTGCTATTACTAATATGCTTTATATTTACAGTCAGGATGGATATTCAATGAGAAAAATATGAAATCGGTTTAGAAAATAAATTATTTCTTGTAGCTTTGGTGTATATCGTACTACAGTTGATACTTTCTGCATATTCTATGGTCAACTTGGCAAGCAATTTAAGCACATTAGTGCACTGAGTGCACTTATTGTATTTCTCAATTTGGTAGCAACGCTACTAAAACTAGTTTCGCAAATTAAATCATTTTAAAAGACAAATTATGAAAGGTATGAAGTAGTAATACTGCTTTAGATGTTACTTTTCAGATTCATTCGCAGACATTTTCCAAGTGTGGTCACATTATTAACTGCCCTGCCAGTGAATAGAGTTGACAAAATTATGTCAAAAGAATTTAAGAAGTGTACTCGAAATCCAAAGTTTTATTTCATTATTAACTTCCCGTAGGGTAAGTTATAGTAATCGCAAAAAAATCGAAAATGAAAATTTTTATATATCTTTACGTTTCAGAGGTTTCTGAACATTTTGGCATACCTTAGAAAAAATGGATGTATGTGTGTGTGTGTGTGTGTGTGTATGTATGTGTGTGTATGTATGTGCGGATACAAATTTTCGTCGACGATTTCGGGAACACGGATCAACCGATTTGAATAATTTAAAAAACATTCGATTGTATTGATAAGGAGACGTGCTGATTAGTTTTTGGCGAAGACAGGTCTAGCCGTTCCGAAGATACGGGGCAAAAGTGCCGAAAACGGTAACTCAGTTTTAAGAGAACGGAGCGTCCGATTTGAATAATTCAAAAAACGTTTCACTTGTATTGACAAGATGAAAATCGATAAAATTTTCATGAAGGTAGGTCTAGCGGTTTCGGAGATATGGAGGAAAAAGTAAAAAAATGAGCCATTTGGCGGTCAAAAATGATCATTAGACATATGCACATCAAATTATCAGATATTTTATAGAGATTTTAACAATAAGTATACATTTTGTTAACATTCCTATGGTTCCGTACCAATGCTTATGCGTTAGACAGCGACGCGGCGCTTACGCGCTTTATATTTTGTCCCTATGCAGTTAAAGCAGTACGATTGCTTTGAAAAAAAAGTTCAGATCTTCCACAATATGTCAAAATAAAGAAAAAAATTTTTTTTTCAAAAAAAAAAAAAATTAAAAAAAAACTTTTTTTCAAAAAAAAGTAATTTTTTGTCCAATTTATAGTTTCTCAAAAATCTTATTTTTTCAAAGTAATTTTTTTCAAAAATGTTAATCGTTTTTAAAAAAATAATAATTTTTGGTACGGGAAGTTCCAGCAATTTGCCTTAAGGCACGATGCCTTAATTGCCTTAAGACAGAATTCCACTTACAGCTAGTTTTGAGATTGAGATTAACACTCGACATAATATTGACTGTGCAGCCTACACATACTAAAATTATTGAAAAAATGTATTCAATAAAATGTGTTTTTTTTAGCAACAATATAAATAATGCTATAAAAATACTTATATTTGATCATATCTGTAATTTCTGAATGGTTGCACTCTAGATGGCTTTATTTCGGTTGTTAGTGATGTGGGTTTAGGCAGAATCACTGACACCGAACTGTACTTTCGAACATAATAAAAAAAATAAAATCTGGAGATACTGTATTAACTGACAAAGCTAAATTCATGAGTAAAAAAAGACAAAGTTTTTAATTGTACTTTATATGATGGTATGATATAGCTGCTATAGCAAAATAATACTTTAATCTATAAATAATATTTGCGTACTAGTTTTTCAGGACCAATACATTGAATAAATGAAACTAATTTAATGAATATAAAAGTACTTCCCATGGGGCTATATATTATAAGCAAATTAAATTCATTATGTAGTGTTAAAGTAGTTGTTAGTCAAATTATATTATATCGAGAATTATTCAAAATATGTTTAGAACGCTATATTTATAATTATTTCATTATTTATATTCACTTTATTAAACAATTACATACAATATGCTTTTATCAGTAACAAACTGAGTTAAAAAATACATGAATTGCCCACAAGAAAAGGATTTTAAGGTTGGATAGTTTCCGGCACATACAAAACTTTTTTTAAACGTTTTCTTACAAGACGTATTCCACAATGTACTCCTTTTACATGTTTTCTTAATGCATCTAGTATTGGAAATGCTCTATTGCAAATTCCACAACTATAAGGACGTTCCCCAGTGTGAATCATTTGATGTCTACTTAATGATTCTCTCGCTGTGAATGTTTTATTGCATATTTCACAACTATAAGGACGCACTCCGGTGTGACTAATTTCATGTCGTCTTAATGAAGCTTTTGCTGTGAATGATTTATTGCATATATTACACTCATGAGGACTTTCTCCACTATGAATTGTTTTATGTTGTTCTAAATTCTGCTTTCTTTTGAATGCTTTATGACATATTTCACAACTAAAAGGTCCTTCAGTATCCTTTGATGATTGATGTTTTCCAGTATGAATCTTTTTATGTATGTATAATGATCTCTTTCTTGCAAATGTTTTTTCGCATATTTCACATTCATAAGGTTGTTCCTCAGTGTGAACAACTTCATGTTGTTTTAAAGTTCGTTTTGTTGCAAATGTTTTATGACATATTTCACAACTGTAAGGACGTTCTCCAGAGTGGATTTTTTTATGTTCGCTTAAATTTCCACTAAATGTGAATGTTTTATTGCATACTTTACATTTGTAAGGTCGTTTTTTAGTAAAAATAATAGCTTTATGTTCATTTAATAATGCTTTTGTTTGATGATTATTGCTAAAATTACTTAAATTACTGATTTCTTCAGTAAATAAGTAAGGTTTTTCATCTAAACTTGTATTAGTTGCAGCATCATGCCCATCGATTTTTTCTTGCTTCATTTCCTCATCGATCGTAACCTCAGATTTTAGAAATTGCTGTAGACAAGTTTCATCATTCTCCATACTCATATGTGATGTGCATTCATAACCATCAAATTCTTGTTTCACTTGAAAATCTTGCTCATCGATCCTCTCTTGCTTTATATCCTCATCAACAGTAACCTCTGATTTCAGAAATTGCTGTAGACAAATTTCATTCTCCATACAAATACTTGTGGTGTTTTCATAATCATCTAAATCTTGTTTAACTTGAGAATATTCGATCGTTTCAATTTAATTGTTGTGTTTGAATTTGTTTCTTCAGACATTTTTGACGTTTGAAGGTTATTGTTAAGATGTCTGCTTAAAAGTCGAAAAGCCTTTTAATTATGCGTTATGAACATATAATAAATATATTTGGATATATATTGATTCGTTTGTATTTTAATATGTTATAATACTAACACTGACCTTTTTATTTTTATTTTATATTTTCGTTTGCCTCATTTACGCACCTTCACAATTTGACATTTCTTCTTCGTTTTCTATGACGTTTCTACTGATTGGGCAACACCAACACATTTCAACTGCGAATTAAACGGCGCAAAAATTTGAAATTATATATTACATAGTTAAATGGAAAGTTAGTCTGATATTAGTTTAAAATTATTAACTTCCCGTAAGTTATAGTAATCGCAAAAAAAAAATCGAAAATGAAAATGTTTATATATCTTTACGTTTCAGAGGTTTTTGAATATTTTGGCGTACCTTAGAAAAAATGAATGTATGTGTGTGTGTGTGTGTGTGAGCGTGTGCGTATGTGTGTGCGGATACAAATTTTTGTCGAAGATTTCGGGAACACGGATGAAGCGATTGGAATAATTTAAAAAAAATTCGATTCGTATTGATAAGGAGACGTGCTGATTAGTTTTTGGCAAGGGCAGGTCTAGCCGTTCCGAAGATATGGGGCAAAAAGTGCCAAAAACGGTAACTCAGTTTTTAAGAGAACGGAGCGTCCGATTTGAATAATTCAAAAAACATTAACAAGATGAAGAACTGATCAAAACTTCATGAAAGCAGGTCTAGCGGTTTCGGAGATCTAGTAAAAAAAGTAAAAAAATGCCATCTGGCGGTCAAAAATGATCATTAGGCATATGCACATCAAATTATCAGATATTTTATAGAGATTTTAACAATAAGTATACATTTTGTTTACATTCCTATTGGTTCCGTACCAATGCTTATCCGTTAGACGGCGGCGCGGCGCTTTCGCGCTTCTATATTTTGTCTCTATGCAGTTAAAGCAGTACGATTGCATTGAAAAAAAGTTCAGAATTTCCTGGGAATGCTTTGATAAACTAACATATAGTATACCAGATAAGTAAATATAAGGTATACCTATAGTACACATAAGGTAAATGTACACTATTCCGGGATAGTACATTATTACGGGTGTTTTTCATTTGGATCGCAAAATAAGAAAACGGCCAATAAATAATAATTTATTCAATAGCACATCAATTATAATTTGAGTCCTAATAAAATAACACGAATAACAACTTGTTAAGTTATCATGGTTATTAGTGTGTTTTACCATTTGTGATATTAAAAAATATATATTTTATCAATGTGCACATACTCATACCATGAATTTGAATAGTGGTTTCATATACTATATTAGGATACAAAATTTTAATTTGATTACCACTGAATGATGGCTAAGATGCTAGCCGAAACGTATGGTAGTTGAAGTAGTTTTGAAATACTTTATTTATCCATACGTTTCAGTCTTCATTGAGACCGTCATTCAGCGGAAAAAATAAAATTATCTATACAAAAATACACTAACTGTTTCAGTATTTAGACATTAGTTAATCTGTACACACTATAGAATGTAACCAAAATTGTCAAAAATAATTAGTTTAAATGTTCCAGTTATTAATAGCTTGGTTTATCACAGTGTAATAGTGTAGTGTATTTTTGTATAATTAAATTTATTTAACTATTTATTAATTAACTAACGTCTAAATACAGGGGTTAGAATACCCCTGTTCAGGAGATTTTGTATTTCGGCTTTTGCAGCTGATGCTTTTTCACCGAAAATCTTTCTGAACTTGGCAGCAATGGTGTATTTATTAACATCCCGTAGGGTAAGTTATTGTAATGGGCCGAAAATCGGAATTGAAAATTTTTACATTTCTCGACGTTTTGAAGGTTTCTGAACATTTTGGCATACTTCAGAAAAAAATGGATGTGTGTGTGTGTGTATGTATGGATACAAATTTCGCCCACGTTTTGGGCGTACGGATCAACCGATTTGAATGGTTCAAAAAACATTCGATTTCTATTGATAGGGAAAAGAGCTGATTAGTTTTTGGCAAAGGCAGGTCCAGCCGTTTCGGAGATACGGAGCAAAGAGTGCAGAAAATAGAAATCGAATTTTTGAGAGAACGGAGTATCCGATTTGAATGATCTAAAAAACATTAATTAGTAATGATGGGAAAAGTGTTTATTGTTTTTGGCAAAGGCAGGCCCAGCCATTTTGAAGATACGATGCTAAATATGTAAAAAATGGCAGTTTTTAAGAGAACTAAGCGTCCGATTTAAATGATTCAAAAAAATTTCTGCTTGTCTTAACAAAATAATTGATTTTGGAAAAAAAATTTTGTTCCATTTTTTTTTTTTTTTGTGTATATCGAAAATATTTCAGATTTTATTTTTAATTCTGACTATAGTTCTAATATACTTTACAAATAATTTCAACTCTGCAATTCAGTTTATATAATTCTTATAAATATTAGACAATGCTACAATATATAATAATCTATTTGAAAACATTCAGTATTCCTCAAACATTTCATTACGGTACGGGAAGTTCCAGTTCCAGCAATTTGCCTTAAGGCACGATGCCATAATTGCCTCAAGACAGAATTCCACTTACAGCTTTTTTATTGTATTCATTTTGGCGTTTTATGTGTGTCTACATTCAGCAAGTTCACATCAGAAGGAAACATCATTACTTGAACTCAAAAAAAGACCCATTGATATTTACAATATATTATTGTATGTACCAATTGCAATATGCTAAGCTATATTAATAAATTTATATTTACATTATTAAACAATTACATACAATACACTTTTATCAATAGCAGAGTTAAAAATACATAAGTTTCCAGCAAATTCAAGAGTTTGTTGAACGTTTTTTTACAGGGCGTATTCCAGCATGTACTCCTTTTACATGTCGAAATAATATACTATTTGTTGAAAATGCTTTATTGCAAATTTTACAACTATGAGGACGTTCTTCAGTATGAGTTGTTCCATGTCGTACTAATGACATTTTTCTTACAAATGTTTTATTGCATATTTCACATTCATAAGGACGTTGTCCAGTGTGAATCTTTTTATGTTCATTTGAATTATGCTTTCTTTGGAATGTTTTATGACATATTTCACATTCATAAGGTTTTTCTCCACTGTGAATCATTTTATGTATTTTCAAATGTTGCTTTAATTTGAATGTTTTGTGACATATTTCACATTCATGAGGTTTTTCTCTGGTGTGAATCATTTTATGTCCATAAAAAGTTGCCTTTGTTGTGAATGTTTTATTGCATATTTCACAACCAAAAGGACGCTCACCGGTGTGAATCATTTTATGATCCTTTAAATTATCCTTCCTTTTGAATGATTTATTACATATTTCACATTCAAAAGGTCTTTGTCCAGTGTGAAGAAATTTATGTTGGTTCAAGTTCTTCTTTGTATTGAATGTTTTATGGCAAAATTCACAATTATATGGTTTTAGATTATTGTTTATTCTACATTTTTCAGAAACACTTTCAAATGATTTATTCGTGTTAGTTGAATTACTAATTTCTTTAGAAAATATGTAAGGTTTTCATCTATACTTGTATTAGTTGCAGCATCATGCCCATCGATATTTTCTTGCTTCATTTCCTCATCAATCGTAACCTCAGATTTTAGAAATTGCTGTAGGCATATTTCATCATTCTCCATACTCATATGTGAAGTGCATTCATAATCATAAAATTCTTGTTTCACTTGAAAATCTTGCTCATCGATCCTTTCTTGCTTTATATCCTCATCAACAGTAACCTCTGATTTTAGAAATTGCTGTAGACCAGTTTCATTATTCTCTATACAAATACCTGTGGTGTTTTCATAATCATCTAAATCTTGTTTAACTTGAGAATATTCGATCGGTTCAATTTTAATTGTTGTGGTTGAATTTGTTTCTTCGTACATTTTTGACTTTTGTAGGTTATGGTAATCGCCTAATCGCTCTCTAAAGATTCCTAAAAGTAGAAAAGCCTTGTTACTTATGTGTCATGAACGCATGATAATTATATTTTGAAATTTATTAACATATTATAATACTAACACTGACCTTTTTGTTATTATTTTATATTTTCATTTGCTTTATTTTTGCACTTTGATAATTTGACAGTTGTACTTCGTTTAGGTTAGATGTTAGACAACATTAAAAACATTTCGACTGCGAGTTTATCAAGGATACCAACCCGCTACCAACATAGATAAATAAGATACCGAGAATTTGGAAATGACGACTTTGAATGATGCAATGATAATGAAAATTTAAATGAATACGTTTTACACTATTAGTAGGCCACAATCTATTCCTTTTCCTGGGTACTATATGATAATAATATATTATTTTAAATTTTGCCACCGTTAAATTTGAAGTTGAAATGTTTTTGGTGTTGCCCAATCAGAGCGAAGGAGCAATGTCAAACTGTCAAAGTGGGTAAATACAGCAAAGGAAAATATAAAATAATAAAAAGGACCGTGTTAGTATTATAACGTATCAATATATTTTAAAATATATTCATTGTACGATCATAACACATAAATTACAAGGCTTCTTGACTTCTAGGAAGGAAGAAGTCTTTTGACAGCCTACAAAAGTACCATAGCCTACAAAAGTCAAAAATGTCTGAAGAAGCGAATTCAATCACAATAATTAAAATGGAACCAATAAAAGATCCTCAAGTTGGACAACAATTTGATGATGTGAATGCAAACGACGAAATATGTCTTCAGAAGTTTTTAGAATCTGAGGTAATTATTGATGAACAAATAAAGCAAGAAGTGATTGAAGGGCAAGAAGCTGTGACAAGTGCAGACCAGATAAGTGTAGATGAAAATTCTAGTACAAGTAATACAAACATGGTTACAAAAAAACAACGAAAAACATATAGGAGACAATCTCATAAATGTGAAACTTGCAATAAAATATTGTCATCAAAGCAAGGATTAGAACATCATCAAATGATCCACACTGGAGAGCGCCCTTTTAAATGTGAGATATGTAATAAAGCATTCAAAGCTTTAGGTATATTAAACCGACATAAAGCTCGCCATGCTAGACCACGCTTATATAAATGTGAGAATTGCGATAAAGCATTCTTATCACAATATATATTGAGCCAACATGAAATGACCCATATTATACGCTCTTATCAATGTGAGATTTGCGGTAAAACATTCAATAAACAATGTATATTAAAAAAGCATCAAATCATCCACACCGGAGAACGCCCTCATAAGTGTCCAATGTGCAATGAGAGATTTATACAAACAAACAATTTAAAACTACATTTATTAAAACATGCTGGAGTGCGTCCTTATGCTTGTGCAACTTGTAATAGAACATTTCCAACAAAAAATAGATTAAGCGAACATGAAATAAGCCATAGAGAAGAAAGACCTTATACATGTGAATTATGCAATAAAACCTTCAAATCAAGAAAATACTTGAAAAAACACGAAGTTAGTCATAAGGGAGAATATTGTCATCAGTGTGACAATTGCGATAAAGTATTCAAAAGAAGACAGGAATTAACTGCGCACGAATTGACTCACTCTGAATGCATCTATAAATGTGAAACATGCAATAAAACATTCTCAAGAAAAAAATCATTGAATATACATGAAAGAATCCACACTGGACAATGGCTTTTTAAATGTGAAATATGCTACAAAACTTTTACAACGAAACAATCATTAAAGTACCATGAAGTGATTCATACTGGGGAACGCCCTTATAAATGCGAAATCTGCAATAAGGAGTTTACTCGATCAAAAACTTTGAGAGTGCATTTAACTGTGCATAGTGAAGATCGAGAGCATGATTGTGAAATATGCAATAAATCTTTCAAAACAACACAAGCATTGAATCAACATAAAGTTGTTCATATTGAAAGTCCATATAAATGTGACAAGTGCAGCAACGCGTATAAAACAAAACGGTCATTAAAACGACATGCAAAAACTCATTTGGAATATTGAAAAAATTTTTCAAGTGGTTTAAAGAAAATATACATATTGTACCAGGGGGATATAGTATGATTTTTTTTATATGATGACGCTTATAGAAATAATTTTAGGAATGAAGATTTTATTTTGTTAATTTTTAATTTATTTATAGTTATTATAGATTTATTCATATTGGAGTATGAGATGTTTGTTTTCTAATATTTTTTAATAAATAGATTTTGATTGCTTTAAGCACCATATTTTATATCTATTAGGAAATAATGACATTGAAAATTAATACATATTGATTTATTTACTTTCCATAGGGTGAGTTATTGTAGTCTTCGAAAAATCAAAGTTGAAAATGTTTGCATATCTTCATGTTGAATGATACAATTATAGATAAAAGAAGAGTATAAAATAATACTACAATACAATACTACTAGGATACAATAATAATGCGAAAATTTAAATGAATACGTTTTACACCAAGGATGAGCAACCCGCGGTCCGCGGGCCATATGCGGCTCGCCGGATGTTTTTCTGCGGCCCGCCTAGCTTTTCTCAACAACAGATTATTTTTCTAGATATTTTATCAGATACGGCTGTAAAGGCTAATTTTGTCGTCAGTCGAAAAACTGTTGTTCGAAGAAATAGCATTTTCTAATGAAATAAATATTAATTTATTTAAATATTAGCTTAAAAAACTTGCAAGAAAAATCGAGAACTTGTCCGAGAATATGGCAACAAAGCATTTCTAAATTTAAAATAATTAAATAAGTGAATCTTATAAAGTCGCGAGTCGCGATCATCGTAAATTTAAAGACTTCCTGACAACTTGCTGTGTGCATGGATGTGGCGATGCCAAAATACGCTATCTCAATTTTTTGTAGGCCTGTGTTATCCATGAATATATTTTTGTCTAGGATTCTATTCTATTTTTGTCTAGGATATTATCATCAAATAGTACTAAGGAAAAGGGATAGATTGTGGTCTAATATTAGTGTAAAACTAGTGGTGTATGGCATCCAGTAAACACGCGATGTTGCTGACAACATTTGAAAAAAATCCCGTCGCGATGTCCGCGATGTGACAAAATATCATGTTGTTTAGATGTTTTATCTAAATCTCAATGCACATCGCATTTGTGAGCACAAAACAAATATTGTTTTAACATTTTATCTAAATCTCAATGCACATCACATTTGTGAGCACAAAACAAATATTGTTTTAACATTTTATCTAAATTTCAGTGGATGCACATTACACATTGTTTTATAAAACAACAAGTTATAAGTTCAACACCTAACTATATAGTTAATATAGATAAATGCTGAAGTAAACAATGGAGCTGTAGAATCTTTAAATTTTTAGTTTTTGGTATGGAAATTATATATAATTTTTATAAATTTTCAATATAATTTTTATGTATATTTAAAAATTATATTAAAAATTTGTATTATATTAAAATGCGTGCAAAATACTAGGAAATAAAAGTTTGCAGATAAAAGTGAATGAAAAAAGTTAATTAATAAATTCTCTATAAAAACTTTTATATTTAAACTTTTGTTTCGTATTGCCAGAAGTGTGTTTATGAAGTTTGATTTTGAAGACATGATGGCGGGATGTTTAAATAGAAATTAACCAAAGTTTTTTTTTCTACAAATGTATATTAATCATAATTTTAATTTAATAGTGAACAAAATATATAACTTTAATTTAAATTGTTGAAACAAATATGAAAATAATAACATTGTGATTCATGTAAATGCTGTGAGTTAATGAATTTTGCTGCCTAGTGAGTGTCAACACTAATAGGATGACAAGGACATCTATAGGTAGGACTCTCTAACAATAAAATTCAAGATGGTGCCTCATGCTGACATTAAAGAAACATCAAAGCGTGTTTTATAAAGTTGTTTAATAAGTTTGTAGTTTGAAACCCTTAACAGTTAAAAAAAATGAACTCATATAGTTAGTACATCATATAGTTATTTATAATAATATTTAATTATTATTAATGTTTACTGGATTTTATATTTCTGTAGCATTATGAATGACATGAATGGAATTCTCAATGAAGAGGTTAAAAAAAACATTGCCGCTGTATTGTCAACCGAATATTATGCTGAAAGCAGAAATCTAATGAATTTCAGAAGATCAGATGCAAGATGATGTTTCAGATCTGTTAGCTAGGATTAAAAATAATGCATTTGACAATCGTTCAAATCAAATCGATCGATGAATTACAGTCAGTGGAAAAATGACAGAGGATTATGACTTGACTTCTATGTATAAACTGTTTTAGAAACTCTTCAGAATAAAGACGATAATACCCTCAATGTTTGCAAGCGTTTTGTGTATAATGAAGAGGCGAGGAAATGATGGTTGAGACATGACAACATGACATGCACTACATATAACCAATCGCTATGAAGAAATTAATCAATTTTAATGTAAAGTTGAAAAACTAATCTGTTTCATGTATAAATAATTTCTTAAATGAATGTGTTTCCTTTACATTAAAATTGATTAAAATACACACATATATATGTATATATATATATATATCTTCTATATATATAAAAATAAGTCGGGTTTTCCTTCCTGACGAAATAACTCCAGAACGCACGAACCGATTTCGACAATTTTGCATTTGTTGGAAAGGTCTCGGGCTCCGCAAGGTTTATAGCTAAGAAAATTAGTGGTGCATGGCATCTAGCCCTAATGCAAATTGCTGGAACTTCATGCACAGTAATTAAAAATTCGAGTAATAAAAATAATCAATAACTGTTTTAAATAATTTCAAATAGATTATCTTCTATATATATAAAAATAAGCCGGGTTTTCTTTCCTGATCAAATTTTTCCTTTTCAAATATAAAACAAACAAAATATTTCTTCATCTTTCTCACGAAACCATCTGGTGGCGAAACGGAGTTTGTCGGGTTTGCTAGTATATATATATATATATATATATATATATATATATATATATATTAAATTGTAGAGTCTTGGATTTGTGTGATAAATTTCTATTTATAACATTTATAAGTTTAACTTTAATTGCAAATATTGATGCTAATTTGTAACATTTTTTTATATGTGATTATCTATGAATAAATAAATGATTCTTGAATAAATAGTCTATTATTAATAAATTAAAAATAAAAATTCATGCCTGTGTGTACAGAAAAGAATATTGAATTAATGTACACAATTACGTTGTTTTCATGTTTTGTCAACATCAGTTCAACATGCGATTAAACGTGTTAAAAAAGTCGCGACAAAAATCGCAAATGTAACATCACTTGGCGCTTGTTTAACGTTCTATGCGACAAAAACGACTGCGGCGTGGCGATATCTCACATCGCGGGCGCGATGTTGTATCCATATTGTTTAGATGTAATTTTGTTTGGTACGATTCGTACCTTAAGGTAAATTGCTGGAACTTCCCGCACCGTAATGAAATATTCGAGAAATTTATTAAACGTTACTGTAACTTTCATTATTTTTGCTATCTTGTTATATCTGAGCAAATCAAATGTAAATCATAAATCAATTTATCTCCAGAACATTAACAATCGTCATTTCATTTCGAATTCAATTTCAAAAATAGTTGCCTAATTTACACAAAATTGAAAAAATGGTCCGTACTGTCACAGTCTAAACGCATTTGCAAATAACTCTGTGCGACATTTTTACTTATACTGTGCTTAGCTTGGCAGCATTTCGCATCTTTCAACAGTTTTACAAAATTAATTAAAAGTGCTCCAGTACATAGACAGTCTAAACGCACTTGGGTAAACATTTGTACCAGAGTGGCGCTTAGCATGGGTAATTTTTTCAATTTTTAATCCCAAAATTACTAAAATATTTTTTGAAAAAAAAATTAAAAACAACAATTTTTTTCCGAAAGCAATTATTTTGTTAAAACAAGCAGAAAGTTCTTTGAATCATTTAAATCGGACGCTTAGTTCTCTCAAAAACTTCCATATTTTTAACATTTAGCTCTGTATTTTCGAAACCGCTAGGCCTACCTTTGCCAAAAACTAATAACCACTTTTCCCTGTCATTACGAACTGAATGTTTTTTGGATCATACAAATAGGATGATCCGTTCTCTCAAAAACTCGATTTCCATTTTCTGCACTCTTTGCTCCATATCTCCGTAACGGCTGGACCTGCCTTTGCCAAAACTTATCAGCACATTTCCTTATTAATAGGAATCGAATGTTTTTTAAACCATTCAAATCGGTTGATCCGTGCGCTCGAAAACGTGACCGAAAAATTGTAATTATACATACATACACACACACACATCAGTTTTTTCTGGGGTATGCCAAAATGTTTCAGAAACCTTCAAAATGTAAAGAAATGTAAACGTTTTCAATTTCGATTTTTAGACGATTACAATATACTTACCCTACGGGAAATTAATATGAATTATTTTCGATGTACAAAAAAAAATCCCAAAAGCAATTGTTTCGTCAACAAAAGCAAAAGTTTTTTGAATCATTCAAATTGGACGCTTAGTTCTCTCAAAAACTGCCATTTTCTGCTTATATACCTCCGTATCTTTGTAACGACTGGACCTGCCTTTGCCAAAACTAATCAGCACGCCACCCTATCAATAGAAATTCATTGCTTTTGAAACATTCAAATCGGTTGACCGTGCGCCCGAAAACGTCGATGAAAAATTGTATCCATGCATGTTCTGAAACAATTCTATAATTTACCTTCGATAATATCTTACGTTCATAACATTTTTTAACTTCCCGTAGGGTAAGTTATAGTGATCGAAAATGAAAATTTTCAAATATCTTTACGTTTCAAAGGTTTCTGAATATTTTGGCATACTTTAGAAAGAATGGATGTATGTGTGTGTGGATACACATTTTTGTCGACGATTTCGGGAACACCGATCAACCGATTTGAATAATTCAAAAAACATTCAATTCTTATTGATAAAAGGGACGTGCTTTGGCGAAGGCAGGTCTAGCCGTTTCAAAGATACAGGTCAAAAAGTACAAAAAATGGCAGGTTCTGAGAGAACAAATCGACCGATTTGAATGGTTTAAAAAACATTCGATTCGTATTGATGTGGAGACGTACTGATTAGTTTTTAGGCAGATTCAGAGCAAAAAGTGCAGAAATTCCGATTAGATCCTAGACACTGTCGTTCGCGTTAGTAGATAAGAAAGTCAAAACTGATCGGGTTTGAATCCCACATTTGTAATATTTTTTTAATTTTTTTTAATTTTTTTTTATGTTACTACTACTTGAACTATTTAAAATTGTTAACTCAGTGTATATATTTTGCGAACGAAAAATTGATACATTTGAAATAAAATATGTTTATTCTAACAATAGAACTGCTTAATTAGATTTTGTTTATATATATATTTCATTCAAACATATACAAACAACATCGTCTAATCTAATAAGTTTACACATTTTGTCTAAAAGGAACAATTCGCATAGACAATTTTGTTGACTGATTATTTTTATTCTTTGAATGTTTAATTACGGTACCGGAAGTTCCAGCAATTTGTCTTAAGGCACGATGCCATGCGCCCCACTAGTCAATGATAATATCAAACCTCAATCCTTAATTTCTGAAACTATATACTCTATGATTTTATATTTTGCCGCCCATATGTAACGGCGTTGTCGCCGTTGTTCTCGCCGTTATATTAATGTTTTCAATGTTGTTCATACTGATCCCATGCTAATGTGAGAAATAATTATTTTCTAGGATTAGAAATGTCAAAGTCCTTTTGGACTTATATGAATTGAATTTGCACTCAAGTATTTTCAATATATATTAAAACATTCAACAATTTATAATACATACAACAATTTATACTTCTTATAAAAGTTTATATGTAATAACGAAAACTGTTCTAACTTTTTAGAAATTATTGTTTACCTTTACCAGAACCTACAGACGGCCAAAATGTCTGAAGCAGCGAATTCAATCACAACAATTAAAATTGAACCAATCGAACATCCTCAAGTTGAACAAGAATTTGATAATGTGAATGAAAACGACGAAGTAAGTCTTCAGAAGTTTTTAGAATCAGAGGTAATTATTGATCAAGAAATAAAGCAAGAAGTGATTGAAGCTCAAGAAGCTGCGACAAGTCCAGACCAGATAAGTGTAGATGAAAATTCTGATACAAGTAATACAAAAATGGTAACAAAAAAAAAACGAAAACCCTATAGGAGAGAATCTCATAAATGTGAAACTTGCAATAAAATATTGTCATCAAAGCAAGGATTAGAACATCATCAAATGATCCACACTGGAGAGCGCCCTTTTAAATGTGAGATATGTAATAGAGCATTCATAGCATTAGGTATATTAAACCGACATAAAGCTCTTCATGCCAGAGTACGCTTTTATAAATGTGATACTTGCGATAAAGCATTCACATCAGAATATATATTAAGCCAACATAAACTGAGCCATATTACACACTGTTATGAATGTGAGGTTTGCGGTAAAACATTCAATAAACAATATCCATTAAAAATGCATCAAACAATACACACAGGAGAACGCCTTCATGAGTGTCTAATATGCAATGAGAGATTCATACAAACAAACAATTTAAAACTACATTTATTAAAACATGCTGGAGTGCGTCCTTACGCTTGTGCAACTTGTAATAGAACATTCCTGTCAAAAGCTAGATTAACCGAACATGAAGTAAGCCATACTGAAGAAAGACCTTATACATGTGATTTATGCAATAAAGCCTTCAAATCAAGAAAATACTTAAAAAAACATGAAGTCAGTCATAAGGGAGAATATCGCCATGAGTGTGACAAATGTGATAAAATATTCAAAAGAAAACAAGAATTAACTGTGCATGAATTGACTCACTCTGAATCCATTCATAAATGCGAAACATGCAATAAAACATTTGCAAGAAAAGATACATTAAATGCACATAAAAGGTTGCACACTGGACAAAGCGTTTTTAAATGTGAAATATGCTACAAAACTTTCTCAACAAAACAATCATTAAAGTACCATGAAGTGATTCATACCGGGGAACGCCCCTTTAAATGCGAAATATGCAATAAGGACTTTACTCAAATGAACGTTTTGAGAATGCATTTAACTGTGCATAGCGAGGATCGAGAGCATGAATGTGGGATATGCTATAAATTATTCAAAACAAGTCAAGCATTGAATCAACATAAAGTTGTTCATATGGAAAGTCCTTATAAATGCGACAAGTGCGGCAATGCATATAAAGCAAATCGGTCATTAAAACGACATGCAAAAACTCATTTGGAATATTGACACATTTTTTCAAATTGTTTAAATATTGTACCAGAGGTATATAGTACGATTTTTTTTTTAAATCATGTGATAACGCGGATAGAAAGAAATTTAGGGATGAAGATTTTATTTAGTTAATTCTTAATTTATTTATTGTTATTATAGATTTATCCATAATGGAGAGTATAACATGTTTGTTTTCTCTTTTTTTTTTAATAAAAACATTTTGATTGATTTCAACACCATATTTTATATCTTCTAGTCAATAATTGAAAATTTATAATCTTTATTAATTTATTTAATTTTTTTTTTGATAAATTGCAATTAGTAAGAATTTTGCAAACTTCCGAAATTAACTGAAATTAAATGAGATAAAATAAAAGTAATATTCAAATTATGGGAGCAATTCTGCCTCATAAAATAGTGTTGCCATGGTGCATGGCATCGTGCTTTTAGGCAAATTGCTGGTACTGTAATCAGGTACTGCAATATAAGATTTTTAAAAACTTAATTTTTTTTTATGAATTTGATTTGATTTTAACAATAAGATTTTTGAGTGTTTCGATATGTTCAAAACAAATTGACTTTTTTGAAAAATTTGAACTATTTTTTCTATATTATTTTTTTTTAAATTATGATATTTTTGGATTTTTTGTATTTTTATTCAAAGAAATCGCGCTGCTGCATCGCTGCTGTTTAGTGTAGTGTAGATTCTAATTTGATTTTAACAATTAGATTTTTGAGTATTTTAAAATGCTCGAAAAAATGAACTTGGACTTTATTGAAAAATTTGATTTTTTTTATATTGATTTTTTTTGGACTTTTTGTATTTTTATTCAAAGCAATCGCCCTGCTGTTTAGATTCTAATTTGATTTTGATAATTAGATTTTTGAGTATTTTGAAATGCTAAAAAAAATGGATTTTGTTGAAAACATTGAAATATTTTGTTTTATATTGCTTTTTTTTGGACTTTTTGTATTTTCATTCAAAGCAATCGCGCTGCTGTTTGGATTTTAACAATTACATTTTTGAAATGCTCAAAAAAAATTGGACTCTATTGAAAAATTTGAAATATTTTTTTATATTGATTTTTTTGGACTTTTTGTATTTTTATTCAAAGCAATCGCGCTGCTGTTTGGATTTTAATTCGATTTTAACAATTACATTTTTAAGTATTTTGAAATGTTCAAAAACTAATGGGACCTTATTGAAAAAATTGATTTTTTTTTTGGACTTTTTGTATTTTTATTCAAAGCAAACGCACTGCTGTTTAGATTGTAATTTGCAAAATATGCACATCAAATTATAAAATATTTTATGGAGATTTTAATAATGTGTATCAATCTTGTTTACATTTCTGTGGGTTTCGTAACATTTTTGTCCGTTAGACGGCGACGTGGCGCTTAGGCGCTTCGATATTGCCTCTTTATGCAGGTAAAGCAGTGCGATTGCTTTGAAAAAAGTTCAAAATTTGCAAAGTATTTCAAACTAAAAAAAAAAACATTTTTTCCAAAAGTTTTTTTTTTCCGAAAACGTAATTTTTATTCAAAAATTTAAAATTTCTCAAAAATCTTTTTTTTTTCAAAGTTAAAACATATTTAATCTTTTTTAAAAAATTGAATTTTTGGAACGATGCCAAACGCCACTAGTTTATATTATGATTTTTTTTTGACTTTTTGTATTTATATTCAAAGCAATCTGTGCTGTTTAGATTCTAATTTGATTTTAACAATTAGATTTTTGAGTATTTTGAAATGCTCAAAAGAACAAAGACTTGATTGAAAAAATTGAAATATTTTTTTATATTATGATTTTTTTTTGACTTTTTGTATATTTATTCAAAGCGATCGCGCTGCTTTTTAGATTCTAATTTGATTTTAACTATTAGATTATTGAGTATTTTGAAATGCTCAAAAAAGTTGAACTTTATCGAAAAATTTGGAAAAAAAATTATATTATGATTTTTTTTTTATATTAAGTATATGTTTTTATATTTTTTATGACTTTTTTTGGACTTTTTGTATATTTATAATGTAGATTATAAAATTTATAATGTTTAACCCTTCTGGAAATTTAATTCATTCTATAAAATACCTGGCAATTTACGTCTACAGTTTATTTTTTATTGTCAAAAGGATTCGTTTTTTTGTTTTTGTTGTTAGATCTCCTAAACTGATAGACTTGCCTTTACAAAAGTATATTTTGTCAATACGAGTAAAATGTTTCTTGGAGTTACCATTTCTTTACCTTTTTGCCCCGTATTGTCAGAAAGGCCGGACTTGCCTTCGCCAAAAACTAATCAACACTTCTCACCAATAGGAATTATCGCACATACATACCCACGCACACATAAATTTTTTCTAAGGTATGCCGACCTGTCTACACCAAAAACTAATCAGCACATCTCCTCGTAAATACAAATCAAATCAAAATTTGAATTATTTACGGATACTTTGTTCTCCCGAAAAGTGTCATTTTTTACACTTAAGCTCCTTATCTCTGAAAAAACTGTAATCACCATGTCTTCTCACCATTACGAATTTAATGAATCATTCAAATCGGATGTCTTGTTTTCTCAAAAACTTAATTTCGCTTTCGGTACTCTTTGCATCGTATCTCCAAAACATATAGACCTGTGTTTGCCAAAAACTAATAAGCATTACTAATCTCCATAAGTAGGAATCGAATGGTTATTGAATCATTCAAATCGGTTGAGTGGCACTCTCGAAAACGTCGTCAAAAAATGTATCTACATATACATACATACACACACATATATAATTTTTTTCTGAATTTTTCCAAAATGTTCAGAAACTTTTAAAACGTTTAAGATGTGCAAAAATTTTCATTTTTGATTTTTCGACGATTACAATAACTTACCCTACAAAAAGTTAATGATATTAAACCAAAAAATATCTTTTTTTAAATGATATAATCTACAAATGCAAACATACACACACACATATATGATTTTTTGCTGAGATGAAAAATGTTCAGAAACCTTTGAAACGTAAAGATATGTAAACATTTTAACTTCCCGAAGGAGAAGTTTATGTTTTCATCAAAAAATCCGAATCGCTAATTTTATGTTTTCTCGACGTTTCAAGCCATTCTGAATCGAATGAGACTAAAGTAGGAAAAAGTATGTGTGTGTGTGTGTGAGTATGTGCTAGCGTGTGAGTGAACAGATTTTTTGCCGTAAATCGACGTTTTCTCAAAAACGGCTGCACCAATTTCAAAAATTTAAAAGCCATTTGATGTATCTCGATGAGGACTAGCGTTTATTAATTTTGTGCGACAATCATCCTAACTGTTTCTTCGTAAATAGCAAAAAAGTAAAAAAAAAATTGTCCAAGTTTTAGTTCGTAATTCTGAATCGATTTTGAAAATTCAAAAAACGTTCAAAAGATATTGATTGGGAATCGTGCTTATGAGTTTTTGGTAGAGGTCGGCCAAGACGTTTTCTTGTAATAAAGTGTTGAAAAAAATTTTTTCGACGATTTTTATTATTATTTTTTTGACGGAAGATACCATAGTTTTCTAGGTCATACTAAAATATTAAGGCTCTACGACAACTCGCTTAGCCTTAAAAATTCGTCAAAGTTTACAAAAATTGGTATCGTTTTTCGGCATTTGTCAAAATTAGACCTTTCATCGACGTTTGCCTAAAAACGCCTGAACCGATTTCAAAAATTTAAAAACCATTTGATGTATCTCGATGGAGATTATCGTTTCTTAGTTTTGTGCAACGGTCAGCCAAGCCGTTTCTTTGTAATTTGGAAAAAAGTGTTATACTTTTTGTTCACTTTTAAACTTGTACTACCGAATCGATTTTAAAAAATAAAAAACTGTTTGAAAGATGTTAGTTGGGAATAATACTGAATAGTTTTAGGTGAAAATCTACCTAGCCGTTATCTTGTAATTAACTGTTGAAAAAAAATTAAACCGATTTTTATAGAACTTTTTTTGGCGATACATTTCGTGGTTAAAATTAAAATTAGACGATTTATTTGGTATAACGATAGTACTTGGTCTTAATGAAATACTACTAAACCATTAAAGTCTTACGGAAACTGGTTCAATATGAAAATTATTGATTTTTGAAAATTTGCTTTCAGGAAAATACTCTAGTTCACGTGTTCGTTCGTTTTCAATGTATGTGTAATAAATCCTCGTACTTTTAGTCACTCATAAATTAATTTATTTTTTATTGAATAAGTCGATTATTTGAACATATCGGGAAGTTCATGTAACTTGCCTCAAGGCAAAATACCGATATCAACTAGTTAAATTATATAATCTACATATTCAAACATGCACACACACACACACATATAAATTTTTTATGAGGTATGAAATGTTCAGAAACCTTTGAGAGGTAAATATATGCTAAAATTTTCATTTTCGAATTTTGGACGATTACAATAACCACGATAACTTACTCTACATGAAGACAATAAGTTTTTAAATTTTAAATCAAAATCTATCTTTTTTGTGAAATTATATAATCTATGATATCATTAATCGATAACTTCGCAGATGAAATGTTTCCAACGTTGGCCATCCTTACCTCAAGTTTGGTATTTTTTTGATTACAATAGAAATGTCACTTTGCAATTATATTGAATTTGAACAAAAGTATTATAAATATATATTAAAACATATTTTTTATACTTTTAAACTTTCTTATAAATATAAATAATAACTTATAATATAGAATTGAAAGCCTTTTCCACCTTTTATAAGCCATTATTAGTTTGATTACAATAACCAAGAGACGCCGAACCGAATGTCAGAAGAAACGAATTCAGTAACAACAATTAAAATGGAACCAATAGATTACCCTCTAGTGAAACAAGAAATTGATGATTATGTTATATCAGAAATATGCCCAGAAAAGCGAGGGAATATATCTACATCCAAATTGGAATTCTGAGGTAACAATGGAGGAAGAAATAAAACAAGAAACAATTGATGACCAACATAAGGTCATTAACAAAAATGTAAAAAGTGGAGATGATACACTTCATATATATAGTGAAA